CCCCAAAACCCCAAAACCCCAAAACCCCATCAAGCCATATTTTATAGAAATTAAAAGTCATAAAATCAGTGATAAATTAGATATTAATATTTATTTTAGAATCAATTTAAATGACTTCCTCATCAAAAAAATACCAAAATCTTGAAAAAGTCACGATTATCTCTATTGGATTCTTTTTAACTTTTACAGGGACTGGTAGCTCTGCTAATCTAGCTGCAAAAGCATAGCAAGATAATGGCTTTGATAGTTTGGGATTATATTAAAATGCAACTGCTTATTTCATATACATAGTTAGTAGTTTTTTTGGAACAGCATTTGTGAAGAAATTTGGTAGCAAATTAACACTATTTTTTGGTGCAGCTTGCTATTTAATAAATATAATTGAACAAATTTTGCCAGCCCTCTATGCCTAATAACCTGAGAATAGAGATAAATAATTCTATTTTCGGAAAGGATTTATCTATTCAATGGGGATTCTAGCAGGAGTAATTAATGGTATAGGCAGTGGTGTTATCTGGACTGCTCAAGGAGAATATGTTTCCAACTGTGCTAATGATGAAAATAAAGGATTTTTCTTCAGTTATTTCTATTTTATTTACATGTCATCTTAAATTGCTGGAAATATTATTGCTGCTATAGTATTGGAAAATTCTTAATTGACCACTTACTACATTGTCATGTCAATCATAATGGTTGTTGGATGCCTTCTATTTTTATTTCTTTAAAAGCCCATAAAATCTTAAACAGATATTCTAAAAAGTGTAAGGAAATCCATATCAGAATCTTAAGAAATTCTTGATTAGTATAATCGAAATCATACGGATATTGATACACCACAAGACAGGTAAGCTCTCAGTGAAAATTTTGAAAATTCTCATCAACTTTCATATAAGGATCTTTCACATCCGAAGAAAAAATAAATTTCATTATTTAGGCAAGATGTAGTGGACACTTTTAATATGCTAATTTCCAAAAGAATGGCCTTTATGCTGCCTTTAATGATTTTAACCGGTATTAGTGTAACAATATTCACTGGTGATTTCATTGTTATAATGACAAATTCAATGCATAATTAAGATTGGGATACAAATGAGTAGCTTTCAAAGTCACTGTATGCTATGGTTCCTTTTGGAGTTGGAGAACTATTAGGAAGTATTATTATTGGGGGATTTATAGATAAATATGGCCATTATCTATCTATTATACCTTGTGCTATCTCTATAGTAATATGTTTTGCGCTACTAATTGTGTTTACAATAATTAATTAGTTTTCAGTACTTGTTTATTTCATGACTTTTTTCTGGGGAATATTTGACAGCTTTATTAATAATTTGATGTTTTGCATGCTAGGCTTTGAATTTGAATCAAATAATACTCCATACAGTATTTTTTCAATTACATAAGCTATCACAGTATTTTTATTGCTAATCTTGCAAGCTCAGATGAGCACCTTAACCCACTACTTAATATATTTTGGGTGTAGCTTTTTATGTGGCATAGCGTCTCTTATTATACTTAGTTAGTTCAAATTTAGAACTAAATCATGATATTGATGCTTTTGACAGGAGTCAACTTAATTAAAATTTACGAAATTTAAAAATTAAAAGTAATCACACGAGTTGTCCCAAATTATCACACAAAAATATATAATTTCTAAATGCAGATATCTCACATATACTGAAAATAACTGTATTAAGGGGTTTTGGGGTTTTGGGG